AGCATCAAGTGAAATGACTGCTCGCTTGGCAACTTTTCACATTAAAAAAAACACGACTTCGTAAGTAACTTAGTTAATATTTTGCAGCGTGGCTTACTTAATACGGTATTCAATTATTAGTTAATCGGAAGCCGAGGTGCCTTTTGCCCCTTTTAATTATTCTTGTTTACGTATGTTTTTCTATAATAGCTGGTCTATCTTGACTTAGGGAGACCAATGTAAGATAACTTTTTTGCTCCATCAGAACAAAAGATGTACCATAAAACACTCTCCGTTTGTCATGATGCACCTGAATTGTTCAAATACAAGATTTTCTCCCTATCAGGTGACAGCAATATGAAATTTGCGGTATTAATATATTTAACACTTCGTGTGTCTTACCTAAATGGCTCAGTTTTTTTTTTGCAGAGTTTCATTCGGCCGTGGCCTTGTTCCTTGAACTTTGTTTCAGTGGCACGTTCGCCATCAAGGATAATGGATCCTTGAATAAGCTTCGTCCCAATCGATGTTATTACGGCGAGTAATAGTTTGTTACTAAGGGAAACCCCGCTGCGCTTACCCTGTTATAACCATATGTGAACCTTTATGTGAATGTACGTAACATTTCGGCTTAAAGCATTTTATTTCAACCATGATATGTTAACTATACGATACGTTAAAAGTGATATTATCGAAATATTTTCCAATGCCACACAATTCCATAAAAAGTGACGTAATTACTATTTCTTAAGAAACATTGAATTGAAATTTATTCTATACTAACTGCTACCTGCGACTAAGTCTGTGAAGAATAGGCTGAATGCGTAACATTCAGTCAGAAAGACATATATAAATAAAAATATGTATATAAATTAAAGCTTATGTTTTATTCTGATGTATAAGCTATATTATTGTAGTTTCATTAAAATCCATTCAGTAGTATTTGCGTGAAAGAGTAACAAACATCCATCCATACGTACAAACTTTCACCTTTATTAAGTAAGGATAGTACGGAACCCTTTGTGCCCGAGACCGACAAGCACTTGGACGGTTTTAAAAAAAAAAAAGTTTATTAGGAAGTATCATACAGGCGATCCCCTGGCTCAAAGATAAGTACGTCGATAATTTTTCGTAGAACCTTTCCTTGTGTATCTTAAAAATGTTCTCGAGGGAAATTTACTCGCTGATGTATTTTCGGTCCTCATTTTCTGTGAGGTTTTATGAACCATTACTTATATTTATTGACTACCGTCCTTTCTTTAGTGATTGTACTGTGATATGAAATACTGAAATGTTGAAATTTTATAATTCTACAATGCTACACACCACTTCTCTTCTTATTTGGCTAGGTTTTTACGATCGTCTGCCTGACGTGAACCCTCCTTAGGAACAAACAACCAGATCCGGATCAATTATCTGTCGGTCGAAATCGAACCCACGACCCACGGCCCTCGGCGCTGAAGCCAATAGTTTAGCAATTGCACCATCGAGTCATCAATCAAATGGCCTTTACGACAGCACTAAACACATATCTTTATACAACAACTTAGCAGACAAGACAACATATGAGACTGCGAACATGTCATTAATGTCTTTATTATATAAAATAACTGAAGTAGACTAGAATAACATCAAAATAATTTGGGCTAAGTTTAATTTACATAGTCATTATTACGGGGCGTATATGCGGCCGCCACCATTAGCTATAATTACATAGGCGCCTTACTCACGTGCCCTCACTGTTCAAAAGAGTTTGCCGCCAAGATTGGCCATAAATAAGCCATTTTCGGACGAAACTAGCGCCAAATCAATCAGAGGATGAAGAGGCCGCCATGGACTGAATGAAAATCGGTCGGAATAATCACCTTAATCACGTATATTAATTTTCAATTAAACGTAATTACAGGTTACTTTAAATAATAATCAATCTTCAGTCTTTCTAAAGCAGTTTTCTTTCAGAAAAGCGCTAGGTTGATCACATAGTGATAAAATAAGAACCACGTCGTAATAGTGGTCTTTTTAAGAGTTTAGAAAAGACAACATGAAGTTTAAGTTGTTGTTAATTCTAGTAACACACGTATCGTAAAATTAAAACCAATGTATAATCTATTGCGCTTCCCTTAATATCGCAATAAACTTTCCAGAATCAACAACAGTATCTATCGGGAAACAAATAAATGCTTACGTTAGATAACTCAAAGCAATTGAATATATTTTGTAAAGTTGTTTTCCCGTCATAAAAGGGACAAAAAAAAACCTCAACTTTAAAACCTAACATTTAAAGGTCAAATAGAAACAAGGCTTTTGAACAATAACAGTATGATTTCGCATATCTTTATTATGGATCCATATGGAATATAGACCGTTTAACGTCATTTTAATGGTTTCCAACATTTTGAAACATTTTTACACAACTGTATATAGTCTCGGACTAAGTAAGTTGTAATATAGATATTAAGTAACTGATTAATATACTTTTTTTTTGTAAATAATTACACATTAGAAATATGTAGAGACCATGACATGAGACTCATGACAAACAATACAATATTTTTCCAGTAGAGCGCATGGAACCTGTATATGTGGTTTTTTGGGATAAGAGACATGTTCAAGATCCACTACGCCAATCGGGTCTCCATAATGTAATTTGATAACGTCTTGCCCTCGTTACGAGTAATTTCAATTAATTTATTCCGTTTCAATTATAAATGGATTTCGAATTTATCAAAGCGTACAGAATTCAGTTTCAACAACAAGTCTAATTTGCCAGCACCGTTTGTTGAGCAGCAGACTGTATTTTCATTAATTTATGAAGAGAGAAGATTTTCTATCAAATAACTGTTTGTAATTAACAATCTTTTGTGAAAGGTTTTATAGAATTATAATATAAGAAAATATAGTGTGTCAGGTTTCAGACAGTCAATAATAATAATCAGAATAGAAGCTTTAATTGCCAGCAATATATAAATATTATCAGTTATTGGTAAACCAGAAAGTTGAACTTAATAAGAGAAATACGTATAGAAAGAATGTTTATGAGATAGTTTCTTAAATTTTAACGTTTTTATAGTGCTAATCTCTGCACTTAAGAATGAACATTAAAACATGTAGAAAAAGTACGAAAAGATAGTTTCTTGTTTATTTTTTTTTCTCTTGTCTTTTATACATATCGTTCACGTGGTGTTATAACAGCTGATGCTTTTATCGTTTCCTTCATAACATAAATAAATAAATAAAAACATAAAAATGTTTTTATTTTGACAAAATCATAACTAGATGATGGTTGTCATTACCCTCTCCTCCGATAAAACGGATCTTAATTAATCTAATACTTTATATTGAACTTTATATATCCTTTTATCGAAACATGGATAACTTCTTTTGGCATTTATATACCTGTTTAATGGACTTGAAAGAGGTCGCTAGAAGTAAATCCTTCTGACCCTCAGATTGACCTGAGTGATTTCGACATAAATTTTCTAGAGATGTATTTCTTGATTCTTACGAATTAGCACGCAAAAAAAATGCTTTCTTATTCTTAAATTTGGCAGCTTACTACACATGACTCGTTTCTGACAGGCTTGGCAAATTATTCTCACAAATGAATTCCTAAGTTAATGAGACATGACCTAATCTTATTTACACAAAGCTCGTCTACGACGGTTACAGATCGTTTCATCGTACTGCTATGAAATTGTCGCTTCATTCATATTCCACATGAGATATTTAGAGCGAGGACATTACACAATTAAATATTTATTGTAAAATGTATACTGAACAAAAACAACATTTTGAAAAAGGGTGATTTGAATAAAATATTATTGATGTATTTTACTATATTGATTTATTACCATAATTGCATGGGCTCTCTACACCCCGATAAAAGTAATTCAGCCTAATATTATTATATTAATAATAATATTAGTAATTATTAAGTGTACGATTCGGATGTCAATTTTATATTGGATGAAAAATATTATAATTGAAACTTAATACCTCTTCTTTACAGGGAAAATTGTGTTTCACATCCTGTATCTTGACGATACAGAACCTACTACACCTGTACATAAGTTTTAATTTGAAATGTCTAATAATCATATTTGTGTAATCTTTACTACAATTTTTATGAAAATTATTTATTCTGTTCTTTTTGCATAGTATGGATGATAGTTTGTTTTATATTTGCACTTATCTTTCACCATAAGTTTGGAGTCTAAGAAAAATTGGTGTTTTAAAAATTCATCTGAGATCTGGAGTAACTCTATACACGAAAAAAAGTACAAATGCATTATCTACCAATCAACTTAAGGTTGTTCAAGAGAAGTTAAGTGATGTATTGATTATACGGT